TGCGTCTGGACCAGAAAGTTGCGCTTGAACCTACCACTACTGCAAAAGCTACAGCCAACAGCCAACTAGCATGTATTATCTACACCTGGGTGAGAAGAAACAACTCTACATACCAGCAGGTGGCAGTAGTCAGCATAAAAGCCGCTAGCGGGGGTCTGACTTGTGCCAAAGATGTGGAACAAAAACAAGGCTGACAGATGCTCAACGGCAGCTCTTACAGCTTGGTGTGTTACAACCTTATTTGTAAAAGTTGGGCTAGGCGATATGAAGATATGTATCGTGCCGACGATACAAAGTGTGTGTGTAACGTAAAAGATATTGCTATATCGTGTAGAGTATTTAAATATATCCACACAGCACAGGACTACATGCATAAATGAAAAAAGTGCTTGATGTTAATATAAAGCTATAGGCCCCAAGAAGCTGTGGATTAAAGTGATTGTAGAACAGATTAGAGGCATTGTAAAAAATGGCCTTTGGCTGTTCTAAAATCTCTGTAAACAGTGGCTTTATGGGGGTTAATGCTTTTATAAAATGGTTACTACATATCCAAGCAAGATTTCATGAAATTAACGCACAGCATAAAAAATGCTATAATTTATTGATAAATAACAATTTTTCTGCCAAGCAATGTATTTCTTCAGCAATATTAAGCAGCAATGTTAAAGTTACCATGCAACACACAACACTCCGATGCAGTAATGCTGATGTAATAAGGTCACAGGAGTATGAGTATTTTACAACAGCTTTGGACATGGCTCAGCCAATAATAATCAAGGACCAAAACTACCCATTTTATAAAGCGTTATTAAGTCCTGACTCGTCCTGCCTGACACACACCTGAAGCATGCATACAGAAAGCTGCCTCTCTCAGACAACATGCAATCCTGAATTCAGTTCTCTTTCTTGGCTTATTGTGCTTGAACAACCAGTTACACAGAATACCATTAAAATGCCCATCTTGGCAAGTATCCACTTAAGCACGGTCAACTTCTAAGTGAACGTAAACAGTTTGATAACTTACTCCTGTCTATATTCTTAATGTTAATCCAACAAAAAAACAAAACAAAAAAAAATCACTTACTGGTATTGACTGAATAAGAATCAGTGTATTTAATTCCTTCAGTGAAGACTGTGCATTGTTTTATTTCACATTTGATTATTCAATATATAGTATTTCTTACCTTAAATCTACTGTTAAAGGAACACGCCGACTTTTTGGGTCTTTAGCTTATTCACCGTATACCCCAGAGTTAGATAAATCATACATACCCTTTTCATCTCCGTGCGTGGGCGGAGTTATGAGCCCCGTGGTGCTTTTCAAGTGTTGCACTAATCACTTCGCCCAAGTAGCAGTGCTTCGCCTTCTGAGAATATAGTTCCCAGTATGTATATGGTTAAAAGCTGGCTGTGTCTCATATGAACTTGTTATTTGTACAAACTGTGACTATACAAATCACAACATATAAATAGGAAAATGTTGGCTTTATTTTGTCACTTATTGGGAGCAGTGTGCTAGCTGGAGCCATTTACTTCCAGTCTTTGTGCTAAGCTAGGCTAGCGGTGGGTGCGTCAGACAGAGTTACAGCACGCACGGAGATGAAAAGGGTATGTATGGACTAGGGATGCAAATTATCGATTAATTCATTAATCGTTAGTTGATCGACCTTATCGATCGATTAACGATTAACTGACAAGCGGCTATTTTCCTGAGAATGTAAATTTCTCACGGTATCAATAGTGTCTTTAACATAAAAAGCTAAATATTGCTTATATACTGAATAAAAATGCATGTTATATTGCTCAATTGATGTTTTATTATAACAGTTGGGATACGGTACAGATAATGGCATTTATGTAGTTTAACAAAATAAATTATGCACAGAAAATTAAAATACATAAAAAATAATTGTGCACTGGCTCACCTGTTGCATGTGAAACATTTGCAGCAGCACTTATAACCCCCCTTGGTCTGAGAAAGGTAAAATTACTAGACCTGGAAACTTCAAATATAGAACTGAACACAACTTAAATCATCCCTGAGGAAGGTGACAGTAAAATTAGAGGGCAGTAAAATTAGAGAGTTTCCCATACGTTATTTGTGGCGGCCCGCCACAATATCAACGCTGATCGCCACACATTGATTTTCTATATATTTTTTTTTTACTAAGCCTATTTAAAATCGTATTTGGTTGCAGCACTACCTCTCGCGCTCTCACTCACCCGTACCTCTCGCATGCTCTCTCTCCCTCGTGGAACACCGCTACACAAATCTGTCCAACACAGCGCTGTTAATGTTAGAGACCCAGGCACCCAGCTTTAAAAAAAGTTATTAGCCAGCATGCAAGGAGCCTAGGTAATAAGGAGAGCTAAGTTATTGTTAGAATACAGCTGGATTTTCGATGTTAGCACGCTGTATATAGCTGGTAGTCCACTCCGTTTTGACCGCCTCATGTTTGGTTTCTTTTTTGCCGCCTCAAGTTTGTGTCGGCTCTCTCGCGTGAGAATCTCGTGTCACGTTCGCAATGTTCAATTAGCCGACAATTAATTTAATTTAATCGAGTAAATTCTTGTCGACAATTAATCGATAATCGATTAACCGTTTACATCCCTAGTATGGACTTATCTAACTCTGGGGGATACGGTGAATAAGCTAAAGTCCCAAAAAGTCGGCGTGTTCCTTTAAATAGACCTACTGTCCTTGAAAAAATTAAAGCACTGTTTTTGTCATTTGTATTTACTGTATTTGTTATAGTTAAATAAGATTTCGATCATATCGCCCCCACAATTAGGAGAGATGTCCTGATATGTACACACAAATGTACAACAATCCTTTTTGCCCAGGCCTGGCCATCTGTCAGAGACATCAACAACATCTACCTCTCTCAGTTCTGGCAACAAGGGGCACCTGGACTGGCACTAGTCAACTTTTAACCAGCTTTCCCATCAGCAAACTGAGTGCTGGACAAACTACTGTGTTCTCTTGACATATCGTATTATAATTTCATATTACAGCATCCAGCAGGGAATTTCTATCAGTTGAGCAATCTGATGTTCTTACTGTTGTAATGACATCCTCTCCAGCAGCCAAGGGATGTTCCAGCTCCAGGACAAAACATTCACACACTTTCATTTAAACATACACAAAGGCCTCTGTGCTGGTATGAAGAGATATGGTAATATCTATTAATATCTAAAATACTATTACCGGTAATATTGGTAATTACAAATTCCCGGTAATATTGGTAATTACAAATTTGAGAGATGGATTATGTAGTCGTCGTATAATACTGAACCTTTTTGTTAAACTTCTTGTACACTCACACTTTGATAAACATGCCTAACAACAGTGTACTGAACATGGTGTCCTTTTCTATTGTCTATAAAACTAAAAAAATATATATTATTATGCAAAAAAGGATAAGCAAAATGAAACAAACACTTCAGCCCATATACTGTATGTGTGCGTGAGAAATAGATTCATAAAGGAAGAAAGGAGATAACAGAAAAATAACCAGCTGCATTTAAGTTATAGTTACATAACCAGAGAAAATGAGTGAAAACAGTTGAACAGAGAGAAAGAGAGAGAGGAAATGAAAAGAGGGATGAAGTGGAGAGAGCATGATGGCGTGCACGGGTTTGTTTTGCTTCAGATTTGAGCGAGTAGTGTGACTCAGGCTCCCCTCACATATTGTACAGACCGCGTACTAGAATAAACATCACACAATGATTGAAAAAAAAAGCTTTTCTTTTTCCTTTTTATTCATTTTTCAGTTGAATCCCAGACGCAGATTTTGGGGGCCGTACTCGCTGGAGTAGAAATGAAAACCATCTCATTTTCCTGGAGGCCGTCCCCTTGTCATAGTGTGCAGAATGTTCCCAAAAATTGACCAGAACAACAACAACAACAAAAAAGCGTTGCTAACTGCATAACACGCTGACAAACTGGCACTGTGCAGAGACTGTACAAACGGGCCAATAAGACATGTGACACAAACACACTATTTTTAATCAATGCATTGCTACAAAACAAATGTTTATTTTGCAAGCCTCAAAGGTGAAATGTTCTAAATGTGTCATTTCAAGCTAAACAATTTTAGAAGAAAAACTGACCACAAAACAGAGTGTCCTAACCAGGCTCAAAATCATTCAAGCGATAAGTTATCATCTTATCATGTTAATATGAGTTTTTGTCCTACTGGACACCACCGTCAACAGTGTTACATGATGAAGATAATGTTTGTTAATGTTTCTATTTTAGTTGCTTTGTGCGAGGTAGAACAAAACACAATGTTTGTCTAGGACAATTACCAAAAAGTTTGAAAATGAGTCACAGTGGCAGAATAAATATATTTAAACAAGAATGAGAATCAAGGGAAACAGCATATCACATTCTGGAATGCACACAAAAAAACAGGATAAGCAACAAGCAAAATCTGGAGCACTGTGAGTTGTGCGTGTCATCTGCAGTGGTCACAAGGTCTTACTTCAGTCAAATGAAATGAAGACTCAAGGGTTTAGTCTTATTTTTATTAGACTTATTAACCTGATAGGACAGCAATATTTTATGTATAATAATATTCTAATATTGATGTTGAGCACTGGCCAACTCGAAAATCCCACTCCATATTGTTGTATAATACACATGAAAGATGATCATAGGTACCGTCTGGAGGGTAGTGCAGATGCTTTGACGTTGAGTGACAATTTTCATTACCTGTTTATTTTAATACAAAATTCTGCCCTCTCAATTGCTTTATTTCCTAACAACAGTTTTTGAGTTCTGTCATTTCCTTATGGAATAAGTGGTAAAGCTAACTTTGTCCTATCTCTGCAACAGGATCCACCCATTCATACAAGCTGTACCTTCATATCCGCCCACTTTAGCCAAATCATTTCCTGTTTTCTATAGTATCCTCCAGGGCACAATAACAGCAGGGGAAAAACAGAGGCACATTTGGACACTGTTTGAGAGATATAATTTGTGGTCTCCAGCTCACCTTTTCTTTCGTGTGACAATGAGAACATCATTGAAGAGGAAGAAATAGACCTGCTGGCGAGATGTCCTCTTGGAAAAGATCCCATTTTCCTCTACGAAAGCCGTTAGCTCACCACGCTTCACCATCCAGCGGGAGGACGACACCAGTGGGAATGGCTGCAGAGAGAATGTGGGAAACGAGAAAGTGTGAGCCAAACAGAATCGTTAATGTTTTTAATGCAAGACAGATGACATGAAGAAATTCAACAAGGCCTCATCTTTCTCCAAATTACATATATTAAGAGCAGTGAATAAAATAGTTAGATAGGGATGTGGCATTTGACTCCTAAACAATAAAATAATAAATCAGCCAGCTTTAAAAAAAGATTGTCTCAAGACCCCAGAGATCAGTTCCGTTGCTTCAGTTATGCTCTTTTTAGGAGATTTCAAGCCAAGAATAGTGTAAAAAATCCATTCCTATTTGTTTTTCCAATTTAACTAATAAAAAAAATCGTTTTTATTATCAATCATTGCTGCCACTTCCAGGGACAAAGTACCCAAGCACTCGAAAAGACACTGGGTCTCATTCACTAATAATAATACGAACAGTAGAACTCACAAAAAGAACATAAAATGCCTAATTGCAAACATATGCACACAAATTTGTTCTTTTAACCTCATTCTAATGCTAATGAATTTGAAGCATTCTAAATGAGAATTTAGAGAGTTAATTTCTCTAAATGTGTGACCTTTTGCAGAGCCTTTCGTCACTGTTGTGAACTTTTTCTTCTAAAGTGTAGGAAACTCAGAAGCGAAGCCCAGGAGACTTGGTTGTATCTTCAGCAGGATTATTTATTGAGAACACGAGCTGTAGGTAGCTGCAGTCATTGAGTCTAGTCTAAGGGAATCTTAAATTGTAGTTTATATACATTTAAACTGGGTGGAATTAATTACATAGTGGTGGCATGTAAATGAAGTACAGGAGTCAGCCCATTTCCCCAGTCCTGATCTCGTCAGCATAACAGTCTCATTCACATATCTTGATGATAATCCAATCAGCCTAACTATTCAACGACTGAGCCAGGGGCTCCCAGAGCCATTAAAGACAAAGAGTCTCAGTAATCTGATTCATTTAACTTACAATCGAGAGAACAGGACTGGCAGGACTCTCATGCTTAACAGGTGATATCATCATCATCATAACCTTAAAATGTAAAACACAATGTACATAACTTTCTCAGTTTATATACTATTGTATTGGAACCTAAATTAAACATTTAATAAATTGGTAATACAACACTCTCAGCAAATATACAACACTCTGACATACGACACCTAAGAGAATGCGAAGAAAGATGCTCATGGTATACCAAGTCTACTATCTAAGTTCAAACACAATGAACACTTTTTAAAGTCAGCATGAAATGTAAGTTGCAATCATGTGTTTTCCTATTTATTGTGACATATATTAACACCCGTGTTGAGGAAAGTTACTTTTAAAAGTGCATTACAAAATGCATATGATATTGCGTTACTTTGTATGAAAAGTTACATTACTTTTGCGTTACTTTTTCTCACCGTTTCTTTTTTCTGTTGAACACAAAAGAAGATATTTTAATGAATGTTGGTAACCAGACATGGAACCAGACACGGTTTCCTACTATGGAAGACAATGGCTACCATCAATTGTTTGATTACTGACATTCATTAAAATATCTTCTTTTGTGTTCAACAGAAAAAATAAACTTATACAGGTTTGGAACAACTTGAGGGTGAGTAAATGATGACCGAATTTTCATTTGTGGGTAAACCATCCCTTTAATAAAGTGATGGAGTACATGGAGTATATGTGTAATTTATTATATTTAATTATTGCAGGTTTGTGTAATATTCTGAGTTTCCATTTCACTGTTTTCATTCATTTTTAGGAATACTGAATGTGTTTTTGTGCAAGTGAGATGAGTAAATGCAAGCTTAGAGTGTACTCACACTAGGCACTGTTGCCATGAACCGGGCCCGAGTACGATTGTCCCCCCTCCCCACTCCCCCTCTGGCCTGCACTCACATAGGGTTTCAGCATTCGTGCCGGAGCACGCTTACGTCATTATTATTTCCTTTTCTTCTGCAGAGCTGCCCGATTTACGGAGTGCATCCCGTACCCTTAAATACTGTGCCCGCAGTTTTTTTATACCTTGTCTCTACACTGCTCGGTAGTTCTTTGATATCCATGACGAAGAAGATAGTCACGGATTTTTCTAAATATATCTGAGTTTTTATGCGTTTTGTCCAGCTGTTCTTGTATGCTCTTGTATGCTCTCATCTGCCCAAATTTCCAACAAGCATTGCACCTCTGCCGTAGACCAAAGCGACCCTTTCCCCACCATGTTGGTTTTGGAGCGTCGCAAAACCATGACGTCACGCGTCCTGTTCCGTGCTCCAGCACGGTTAGCGCTCACACTGCATGCGAACCGCGCCCGAGTCCAACTGAACCGTGCTCTGGCCCACCTCTTCCAAGCGGGCCAGGGCCGGCTAATCGAGCCACGCCCGGGCACGGTTCGGAGCACTCACACTAGTCAAACGAACCGTGCTTTGGTGGTCAAACGCACTCGGGCACGGTTCAAACTGGCTAGTGTGAGTACACCCTTACATTTAGACTAGAACTACAATAGCCATCATGTTTACACAGCGCACACAACACCTAGTGACACACAAGTAAAAAAATAATGTGCATTGATAAACTGCAAAATTCCATAAAAACAAGAACTGTTCATTTTGATCTCATGGTAACTTTAAACAGAACCAGATTACTTGTACAAATGCGTATGTGCAGTTTTTCACAGAAGAACCTTGCAGCTCAAGCTATACCACTCTTCTCTCTATTTGTCTCTCTCTCTCTCTGTTTGTGAAAACACTTGTGCGCACACATTACACAATTAATGAATGAGACCCACTGACTGTTGCCTATGGAAGCCTGGTAATTGTAAGATATAGTTTCAAATATGAAATACAATCACAATGTGAGACAAAGTTACACTGTGAGATTGCAAAGAACTTTTTATTTATTTATTTGGGTGGGGACACAAGCTAATTAATTTAATTGATTAATTTAGTCGTCCCTACACTTGGACATTACTATACAATTTTATACTGAATATTTCAACTTACTGAGCACTATTTACATTGCAATCTAAAACCACCCTGTCACACCATGTAATTTCAGTTCAGCTGTATGTGTGTGCATGAACAGACTGGTGTGAGATCTACTGACCTCCTAACAACTGGACACAGCAAAGTCGTGATTGTGCTGAACCCTTTAGACATCTCCTTGTACCAAATGTGCCAGCAGAACGTTCCCACACTGCTCAAGCAGCAGGTTGTGAATACGGTTACATAAGTGAGTGTGTCTAATGCATCACTGTGTACGTGCAAAGCCAGTTTAAAAAGCACATGCATAATGTGTTTGGAAATAATTCACGATGAACACATGACGTGAAGACCCACAGCGAGGGAGCAGCATGTGTGTATGAGGTAAAAATGTATGAACAAGTTCCCTTTCGTTGTCACTCCGAGTTCCGTCGGATGACGACGAATGGGGTTTCGCTTAGAAAGCCAATCGACTTCGAGTACTACAAAACGAGCCAATGGCAAAGAAATGCCATGGGTCTGCGGAATTTGCAAAGCGTAACTCCGCCTCACCTCGTGGGTATTTAAGGAGAACGCTGGCAGCAAATAGGCATGTTTTCGCTTCGGAGCCAAGGTGATCCTTCGTTCCACAAGCCATTCCTGTACTGTCAGTTCTTCTGGTGTGACGGCGATCTCCGGCGAGCGCGCACTTCCTGCCTATCTGTCTGTGGTTTGACAGCGAGTGTGTTTCTCCCCGGGCGCTTCAACACAGTCAGAGTTTCTTTCCTCTCACAAAAGAGCTTGCACGCGGCACGTCTTTTTAAAGATGCCTCGCCCGTGCACTTCTGGTTGCGGTAGACTCGTTGCCGACTCTGATGGGCACGAGCGTTACATAGTGTGTTTGGGCATTGATCACGCTAGAGCAGCGCTCGTGGATGACTCATGTTCTCTCTGCGGGAACATGACCATCGCAGCACTACGATCGAGACTCAGTGATCTCGCAAGAGTGAGAGCCCCCTCATCCACATCCCGATCTACTGACTCTAGAAATAGAGCTAGTACTTCGGCTGGTGGCCAGGGTGATCTGAGGGTGACAGTTTGGAACAAAGCGCCGACTATCAGTCCGTGCCCAGCCGCACCTTCTCCATGTTGCAACCCGTGAGTGCTCAGGGGATTCCTGCGGGATCATCTTCGGGTGTCCCGCGGGTTTCCTTTGGCGCTCCAGAGGAGGACGCGATGTCTGTCGCGGCATCACAAGGTGGGTCTGAATCTTCTGGAAGTGAAGACTCATCACAGCTGCCACCTTCGGGTGTGAGCACAGTTGTGTCAGAGTCTGATCCGGAGATGACGGCCATGCTGTCTCGAGCCGCCGCGAGCATCGGGTTAGAGTGGACCCCTCCGCCCTGTCCCGAGCGCTCACGGCTGGATGATTGGTATTTGGGTCAGGCTGCGGACCCCCGTCCGCGTCAGGCCCCGATACCTTTCTTCCCGGACGTGCATGATGAGATCTCGAAGTCCTGGAAGACCCCCATGTCTTCCCGTGACCGCTCGATGATTTCATCCGCCTTTCCTCCCCTCGATGAGGCCGCTGCCCGTGGGTACACTGGGCTCCCCCCGGTTGAACGCTCTGTTGCGATGCAACTGTGTCCTCAGAGCGCTTCTTCTCGTGGTGAGCCTAAGCACCCATCCAAAGCCTGTAGGTACTCGTCTACGTTAGTGGCGAAGTCTTACAGAGCTGCGGGACAGGCAGCCACCTCTTTGCATGCCATGGCCATTCTGCAGGTCTACCAGGCCCAGATGCTCAGGGACATGCACGAGGGCAGGACAGACCCAGGGCTCTTCAATGAGCTGCGCGCCGCCACCGACCTTGCTCTCCGAGCGACGAAGGTGACCGCACGCTCCCTGGGTTTGGTGATGTCCACAGCCGTGGTCCAGGAGAGACACCTCTGGCTGAACCTTGCTGATATGAAGGATGCCGAGCGGTCCCGGCTGCTCGACACCCCCATATCACAAGACGGCCTTTTCGGCGGTGCAGTCGAGGATTTTGCCCAACA